CATATATAAAGTCCCAGCTCACAACCCGTGGGCGGACATCTTTCCCTTCACGGACATCTTTCTCTGACATCTTTTCCCTTCCCTTCCCTTCCCTTCCCTTCCCTTCCATCTTTCCCTTCGCGGACATCTTTCCCTTCCCTGAGGGAAAGGTGCCCCATGCAAAATAAATCTGTGTCCCGCTGAGAATTCCATCTGAGCCTCGGTGCCTCATCCATCCGCTCGTGCCTTCCTCCATCCACGCCGCCCGCTCCTGCCCATTCTCTACCTATCAGTTCTTACAACAGATGTCTTTAAGATACAGTAAACTTAAACTTCCACAATCATCTCTTATCAGTCAGACCTGTTATTCCTTAGGATCTCAAGTTTAATACCTCAAGATGAACAATTTATAGGTGCTACATAGCTATAAAATTTGCAATATGCTTTAATCTCTGAAACTAATTAGGAAGTTTGACACTTAAAATTTTTAAGGGGCTCAAGATAAGAGCACTTTTTATGCAATCATGAGGACCTGAGTTCAAATCTCTAGCACCCACATAAAAGCTGGGTGTGGCTGGTGAGATAGCTCAGACGAAAAAGGCACTTGCTGCTAAGCCTGATGACCTAAGTTAGATCCCCAGGACTCCCACAACTTGTCCTCTGACTTCCACATGTGTGAGGTGGAGTGTGTACCCACATATATATACTAAATAAATAAAATTTTTACAATAGCACTGAAAATGTATGTGGAAATGCAAATGACCAGAGAATGGAATTATGCTCAAAGACAAGTGCTGGTATTCAATGGTGATAAGTAATCCTGACTGTCAATTTGATGTGATTTAGAATCACTGTAGAAACAAATATCTGGACATGTCTATGAGGGATTATGTGGACTACATTAAATGAAATAGGAAGATCCACCCTAAGAGCGGGTAGTACCATTCCATAGGCTGGGGTATTGGACTGAACAGAAAAAACAACAGGGAAGAAGGAAGGGAGGGAGGGAGGGAGGGAGGGAAGGAGGGAGGGAGGGAAGGAAAGAGAGAAAGGAAGGAAGAAAGAAGAAGGATAACAAGGAAGAAAGAGAAGAAGGAGGGAAGCTGTGCAGAAGCATTCATCACTGCTTCCGAACTGGGAACACTATGTGACCAGCCTCATCCTGCTCCTACCACACTCTCCCTTCTGTGATGGACTATATTCCCTGAACTATAGCCAAAATGAACCCTTCGTTAAGTTGCTTTTTCAGGTATTTTTTGCAACAATAACACAAGAAACATACCGTTAACAAGCCACCCCAAAGCTTGGGGTCCTAGGACATTGACTTTGCTCACAAATCTGCAATCTGGGCAGTGTTCAGCAGAGATAACTCATCCTGCTCCCTTCCACATTACCTGAAACAGTTGGAGGTCTGAAAGGCAGAATCATCTGAAGACTCATTTACTTTGGACATCTGGAGGATGGGCTGGAAGGACTGCTGGGGCTCCTCTGTTCTGCCTGTGAAACCTCTCTACATGTGCTCTCCAGCACAGCCATCACATGCGGCCAGTACTCTTACACAGCAGTTCGTGGCTCCTGTGGGACAAGGTCAAGAAAACAAAACCAGGTGGAAGCTACATTGCCTATAGTCAGAAACCATTGTATGAGTCACGGTTCTCTAGAGGAACAGAGCATATATATTAAACAATTTCATTAAATCAGTTTACATTGAAATAGTAACAACAGTTGTCTCACACCTGAAAGACCAACAACCCAGTAGTTGCTCAGTTCCCGGGGCTGGGTGTCTCATTAGTACCAATCTGGCACTGAAACCTGGAGGGTTCCTGGAGAGCTACTGGTCCTTCGTCAACCATGAAAGCCTGGAAACACTGGTTCTGGTATCAGCAAAGGATTCGGCAGAAGCAATGAGAGTAAATCAACTCCGTGGCAAGAGACGAGCAAAAAACGAATAATCTTCCTCCTGTCATGTTTTCCAATCTGGGCTGCTACTAGAAGGTGCTGCCCACATTTTGGGTGGGCCTTCCCACATCAGTTAAGGAATCTGGACAGTTTCTCATTTGAGGCTTCCTACTCAGAAGTTTCTAATCTGTGGCAAATTGACATTAAATCTAACCATCATACTGTATAACATCATTTCTGCTAAATTCTTCTGGCTGAGCTGTTGCAAGGGGCTTCCTAGAATTAAAAGGTCAGAACAGGGATGGAGAATGTGATTCAGTGGTAGGTAGATCCCTGGATTTGACCCTCAGCACTAGGAGAGTTAAAAAAAAAAAAAAAAGAGACAAGAGCATAGATCCAAATATACTCTTTGATGGAGGAATGTGTCACATTTCAAGAAGGGTATAAGATTAACATCAGGGAATCTATCCAAAATATGACTTGACACAACCAAAAACCACTGGATAACAAAACACAAAGTTGAAATGACTTAAATTTATTATTTATGTGTATTAGTATCTTGCTTGCATATATGTAAATGCCCCCATGTCATGCAATGCCTGCGGAGGCCAGAAGAGCAGGCTGGATGCCCTGGAACTGGAGTTCCAGACAGTTGTGAGCCTCCATGTGGGTGCTGGGAACTGAACCGAGGTCTTCTGCAAGAGTAGACAGTGCTCTTAACCTCTGAGCCATTTCTCCAGGCCCCCACAAGTAGCTCTTTAAAAAAGCTTTCTGCCTTATCTCAAAAACAAAAGGGGCTAGAGAGATGCTCGGTACTTAAGAGCACTTGCTACTCTTGCACAGGATACAGGTTCAGTTCCCAAGACCCACATGGCTGCTAACAACCAACTGTTCCAGTTTCAGGAGATAGAAAGCCCTCTTCTGTTTGTAGGCACTATATATGTGTGGTGCACTTACATATATGCAGACAAAAATATTTATACACATAAAAACAATAAGTAAATCTTTTTTTTAAAACCCCAAACAACAAAAAGACAAGGAAAAAGAACACCCAAGGTTGATCTCTGGCCTCCACACACATGTATGTGAGTACACATAAAATTACAATAGAATATGTCAGGTTAGGACTGGGGGTAGTGAAGTGCTTACCTACCATGTACAAAGCCCTGGGTTTCACCCCCAGCACCATGAAAAAATTTATATACAGATTGTGTGTGTTGAGAGAATGAACATGTTTTAACATAAAGGTTGTGGGTGTTAGAATACACAAAAGAAAGGGACTCTTGTGCTTTATCTTGCGAAGGACAAATTGATGGCTGGCTTTTTATTTTATTTATTTTTGAGACAGGGCCTTACACTGTGGCCCAGGCTAACCTAGAACTCACTATCCCCAACTGGTTCAAACACTTGGCAATCTGTGGGGTCCAAGTTCCAATGTAAGGAATGACAGTCACAGGAGGTCAGGAGGTTCAGATTAGGAGTTTGGAGAGAAAGCAAGGAGTCACAGGCAAGTAAGACATCCTTTATTCACTCTGGGTGATGGCTGCTACTGACACACATGCCTACACAGGGTGGCTGGCAAAGGCCAAGGTACTCACCTCTGATCTCAAGGTCATTTTCACGCACAAATGGCGTTCTGCCAGCAATGGTTATATAACCGACTATATCACTGTTTGCTTTTGGGGCCCCTAGACAACCAATGTCAGCCATTTTGTGCTGACTCATAGTAACTGCAGATGTCTATCATTAGCCATTTTGGACCATGCTGTCTGAATATAAACTAGCCATTATAGCCCTTTGCTTCTTATGCAATGCTCCTATTGGGATTACAGGAGTACACACCATGCCCGACTGGAGGAAAGTTGTTTACCATTTTTTTTTTTTTTAATTTTTATTTTATGCATGCTGCATGTAAGTGCACCAAAGTTGTGTGATGACAGCAGAGGTCATAAGAGGGCATCAGATCCCCTGGAACTGCAGTTACAGGCTGGTAGTTGCTGTGTGGGTGCTGGGCTTGGCAATCTGGGTTCTCTGCAAGAGCAGCCAGTGAGCTTAACTGCTGAACCATGGCTCCAACCCCTATTTATTATTATTTTGAAACAGGTCTACCTGTAGCCACAGCTGGCCTGGAATTTGCTATGTACACCAGGGTGGGTGGCCTTGATCTCACAGCAATCCTCCTGCCTCCGTGCCTGGCTTCTTAATGAGCTCTGGAGAATGAACTGAGGTCCTCATGCTTACAAGGCAAAATACTTCATCACCTGAGCTATCTCCCTTGGCCCATAATTTTTATTATAACAGGCATTATCAGTCAAACATCTCTTCTTTAATATTTTATTTATTTTATGAGTGTACTGCCTGCATGTATGAGTGCACCCATGTCATGCAATGCTGCGGAGGTAAGAAGAGGGTTTCGGATTCCCCTGGAACTGGAGTTAGGGACGGTTGTAGCCGCCATGTGGGTGCTGGGAATCGAACCCGGGTCCTCTGCAAGCGCAATCAGTGCTCTTTACCGCAGAGCCATCTCTCCAGCCTTTCTCCCTTTTATAAATTAGTATGGCATAGGAAGCTCCTCAGTCCTCCAGCCGAGAGGAAAGAGACACAAGAAAGTCAGAAGTGACACTTGGCACAAGAAACAAAACACACCGGAGAGAAAAGCATCAGCAATTCAAATGCCGCGGGAAAGGTACTCCTCCCGTGCGCCTTTTCCCTTTCACCGGCTGAGGGGCCTAGGCCCCCATTGCTCCCAGGCTCCCAGAAGGTGGGGTAGCGGAGGGTCTGCTGCCGCTTCAAGTCCCGCTACCCTAAAGACTTTAGAACTAGTGGCGGCCATCACCCTGGCAAAGAGGAAGGCACGCCACTGTCCTGGGCTGCAAGGGAAGGACCCGCACTGGCAGGCCCGACGGCCGACTGCAGGCTCTAGAGCTGGGTGGCCTGGGGTCTTCCGGGTCGGCGTTGTCTGGGCGGCACACTGAGCGCCAGCCTCCGCCTTGGCCTTCCGGAAGTGAGCCGGGAGGTGAACGAGGCCCCGCCCTCCTGTGGGCGGGCCTAATGGCGGCCTGGCCCCGTTTTTCTGGGCTGTGATTGGGTCCTGCCGCCAGAGCGCGGTGACCGTGTCCTCGGCGCTGAATTTCTGAGAGGAGCCAGAGAGCTGAATGCCGGAAGTCCTCTGAGCCCGGCCTGCTGCCGCTTCCCTCCAGGCGAGTGAACTCCGGGCCGGCGGCGGCGGTTCCGGGTCCGCCCGCTTCTGTCCGCCGCCTGCTGGGCCCAGGGGCGCGGAGCCGCCTGCGCCGAGGGGAGAGGGCGGAGTGAGCCTGCAGGCCTGGCGCCAGTTTTAAGCGCCCGCTGCGAGGTGAGCGCCGACCTCCCGGGTCTCGGTAGCCCAGTGCCGGGCCGGCGGCCGCTGAGCGGGATGCACATCTCACGTCTGGAGTGCTGTGCCGCCGAGGCAGAGAGCAGCAAAGTAGCGCCTTTAGTAGGGTAGGCGCTTGAGTCCGGGTGCATCCACGGAAGCCGTAGAGGGAGCGGAGCTGACATCCGACCTCCTCCTTAAGGGGAGAGGGGAGGCCCGGAAAATTAGTCTGAGTGCTGCACCCGCAGCCAGCGGGCCCTGGCTCCCCCCGCCAGCCTTGCTCTGAAAGCCTGTTCGGGCAAGGAAATGGGACACACTTTGCGGGCTGATGGTTCTTTTATTCTTGTTAGTTTCCTAGCTTGGAAACGATGGCGGAAGAGTGGGATCTCCAGGAACAGGACTCGGACGCGGGTAGTGTGGAGGTGGTCCTCACTCCCGCAGAGCTCATCGAAAGGCTGGAGCAGGTGAGCGCCCAGGTGGAGCCCCAGCCTCTGACCTTAGCCTTTAACACACTCCGGGTGTGCGAATACCAGGGCTCAAGAAATATGGAAACATAAGTCAGGGTTGATTTCAGGAAAGCAGGAGCTGGAGAGATGGCTCAGCCCTTAAGAGCTCTGGTCCCTCTACCGGAGGCCGCGGGTTCGAGCCCAGCACCCACATGCCCTTTTCTGAACTCCAGGGGCATTGCACAACACAAGTGTACTCGCATGCAGGCAAAACTCATACACATAAAGTAAAAATAAATAAAATTTTTTAAAGTTAAAAAAAGGGACTGCTTCTTCATGAAAATAGAAAGAGGGGGACATTCTTTGTAAGAAACTTCCTTCAAGTGTGGCTAGTGGAGGACAGCTTTGGACATACTTGATAGGACATTTCACACAGCAAGGCTGTATTGGGGTATTTTCAGGACACTCTATGTGCAGCTCAAACTTGTTCTCTACCTCAGTCCAGTTGTTTTCACTGAAGAATGCCTGAGTTAGCAAGGAAGTGCCAGCATATTTTTTAGTCATAATAGCAGTGATTATTTCTAGTGTGCTAGTAACGTTATTTACAATGATCTTATCATAAAACTCTGGCAGTTCAGGAATTCTGAATATCTGGCTTCAAACCCCCTCCATGCTGTTCGTCAATTATGCAGTCCCACACAAGTTATATAGCTTATCTCGTTAGCTACTATGTGGGTGCTGGGAATTGAACCTGGGCTCTGCAAGAGCAGTCAGTGCTCTTAAGCACTGAGCCATCTCTCTAGCCCCTAGTCTGTTCTTTTCATCAATAAGATAAGGAAATAATTATTTCTGTTTTCTCTCAGATAATGAGTGAAAAAGTATTTGAAAGTGCTTAAGCATTGGTAATGAAGAGATATATAGACTAACTTTTTTTTTTTTTTTCGGTCTTTTTTTGAGACAGGGTCTCCCAGTAGCCCCAGCTGGCTTGGAACTCACTATGTAGACTAGGCTGGCCTTGAACTCACAGAGATCCACCTGCCTCTGTCTCCCAAGTGCTGGGACTAAAGGCGTGTGCCACCACACCTGGCATAGACCTACAAGATGGCTCAGTAGGTAAAGGCACTTGCTGTGAGATGCATAATTTTCATGAGCTATGAACTGACTCTCCAGATTGTTTGGTTCCATTTTAAGTGTCACTAATTTTCTTATGTTGGTTTTTAGGCCTGGATGAATGAAAAGTTTGCCCCTGAGCTGCTGGAAAGCAAGTCAGAGATTGTTGAATGTGTCATGGAACAGCTAGAACACATGGTAAGCGTTACTTGTCTCTGGGTTATAAAGCAAAACAAAAGCTAAAAGCATTTGATCACCATAGTGAGATGTGGTCTAATAGCAGATCTGTTTTGTTTGGCTCAGCCCAGTACTTTAAAAAAAGTTGTCTACATTTATAAACTACAAGTATTCCTACAAAAATTTTCTTGAGTTATTTTTTATGTATATGAGTGTTTTGCCTATATGTATGTATACATACCACATGCATGCCTGGTGCCCATGGAAGCCAGAAGAGGGTGTCAGATCCCCTTGAACTGGAGTTACAGATGGTTGTGAGCCACTATGTTGATGCTTGGAACCAAATCTGGGTCAGCAATTATTCTTAAAACTGCTGAGCCATTTCTCCAGCCCCAAGAGTTCTATAAATACCAGCATGTCAGTTTCCTATGAATAGTTTAAGACCTGTCACTGATCTGGCAGCTCTACATAAGAGCATTTGGCCAGAGCAGCTAAGGGCCATCCTTTTTTGACTGTACTTTTCTGTTCCCCACAATCCCTTGACCACCTACGTTGTATCCCTTACCTGCCTGGCCCTTACAGACATTTGAGTTTGTGGTCCTTGGCCTATAATGTTGTTGGCTTAACCACCTTCGGATTGACTTTAAAGTGCTGGTAGTTTATGGTTTCTAAAAATGGATTGATTGTTTACTTTGTATGTACGTACATGTGCTTATTTGTGTATAAGAGTATGGGCACATGTATGCCACAGCATGTGTATGGTGGTCAAAGAACTACCTTGGGTGTCAGTCCTCACCTTCCTCCTTGTTTGAGACAAGCTTGGCCTGTTGTTTGTTCATCACTGTGTACACCAGGCTAGCTGGCCTATGAGCTTCCAGGGATTGTTTTGTCTCTGCCTCCCATCTTGTGGTACAAGTGCTGGGATTATAGACGGGTACGACTGCACCCAGCTTACGTGAGTTCTGGGATTCCAAACTCAGGTCCTCATGCCTTTGGTAGCAAGTACTTTACCTACTCAGTCATCTCCCCAGCCCCTCAACTGTTTTTTTTTCTTTGTCTTTTTTTAAATTTTGTGACAGGGTCTCACTATGTAGCCTTGACTGGTCTGGAACTCAATCTGTAGACCAGTCTTACCTCAAACTCATAATGATCCACCTGCCTCCGCTTCCTGAGTGCCGGGATTAAAGGTTTGTGCCACCACCCCTGCCCGATTTTTTAATACTGGCTTATAGACCCCTTAGCACATTTCTGCTGTGTGCTGTATTATTATCACTTTACAACTGGATTGGAATCTTGCACCCTTGTTCTGGTTTGCTTTTCTTGCTGTTATAATCACTAACCAAAACCAACTTGGGGAGGAAAGGGTTTGTTTGACTTACACCTACCAAGTCACCAATCCATCACTGAGGGAAGCCAACATAAGAACCTAGAGGCAGGAACTGATGCAGAGACCACGGAGTGATGCTGCTTATTGACTCACTTCCTCTTGCTTGCTCAGCTGCCTTTCCTGAACAGTCCAGGCCCACCTGCCCAGGGCCCCCATACATCTACCAACAATTAAGAAAATGCCTCACAAACATGGCCACAAGCCACTCTGATGAAGGAAATTCTCAGTGGTGGTTCTCTTCTCCTAGATAACTCTTGTTAGTGTCCAATTCACTAAAATTTAACCAGCACAACTCTTGTGGCTGACTCTATTTTTCAGATTCTATTCAAATGGTCATTTCAATTTAAAAACTTGGGCACATATCCCTGGGCTCTATCCCCAGTGTACACAAACCACACACATGTGCACATACAAAAGAATGAGGATGAGAATTCTTTGATGTTTTTCCTTTGGCTACATAGTCCTTGGGTCCTCAACTTTGCTAATGCTTAATGTTTCTTTGTCTTTGAATATCATGTTTTTAATAGACTTTAATTTCTTTTTTAAATTTTTTATTGAGCTTTGTAATTTTATACAACAGTTCTTAGTCAAATTTAGGCTTCCTCCCCTATCCATGCCCCTCCATCCCCCCACTGGACCTCATATATTCTGCCATACACACGAAGCCCCATCCAGCCAAGTATTTGTACCTAAATGTCCTTCAGCATAAATTCATCCACCGCAGTCTAGTCAGCCCATCTAGAGATCATATATAAGGCATATCCTCCCTCATCCAGCATCAGTCAGTCTCCAGTAGTTCTCAGTCTAGGGCCAGCCTGCCACCCATTTCTTTCCTCCCCTCTAGGCCCTTGTTTAATTGAGTTGGCATGGGTCCTCGTGCTTGATGCCACCATTGCCCTAAGTTCACATGTGCAGACTTCCAGTGACCTGAAAGCCTCTGCTTCCCTGTGTTCATGAACCAGTCCTGTCTCTTTACGATCTCCCCCCCACCCCGTTCCAAAATGGTTCCTGAGCCATGGGTGGATGAGGTTCAATATAGGAGTCCCATCCAAGGATACACAGTGTGCAGTCTCTTACTCTTTAAAGCTTTGCTAGTTGTGACCTTCTGTGTGCATCACACTCTGTTGTATAAGGAAGCTTCACTGGTGAGAGTTGAAGGGTGCGTTAGTTTTCTCTCTACCCCTTGTTCCGCTGTGTTCCATGAGGCTTAGGTATATGGCTCAGTAATTAAGAGCACTGCCTACTCTTACAGAAGACCCAGATTTGATTCCCAGCACCCACATGGCTGCTAACAACCATCCATAACTCCAGTTCCAGGGGATCAGATGCCCTCTTCTGACCTCCACAGGCACTGAACCACACGTGCACTTACATACACTCAGGCAATATACTCATACACATAAAATAAAAGTAATTTCTCTTTTAATAGGAAGAAAATCTCAGAAGAGCCAAAAGTGGGGACCTGAAGGTCAGCATCCATCGAATGGAAATGGAGAGGATCCGCTATGTCCTTAGCAGCTACTTGAGGTGTCGACTCCTGAAGGTTGGACATAGATACCTGTGAACATTAATGCACTAAAATTTGGAACATTGACTGAATAGCATGAGAAGTTGACAGATGGTCTGAAGATTCTAAGAGCCTAACATCAGTGTAACCAGGCTAGGGAGAGAGCATTCTGGAAAGTGTAGCTGATAGCAAACTGTATAAGCCTTACAGGAAAACCAACATATTTTTAGTCTATTTTTTCTGGTATGTTAGCCCCTACCCCACCGCCAACACTGGGGTTAGAATGAGGTAACGCAGAAAGAGTTCTTAGCATTGTTTGATTATAAGGGAATTCTGGCCAGGGAGAGCTAGTTTCACAAAGCAACTTTACACCTATCAAATTGACCATGATAACTTGCCATTCTACTGTAGCTCTGGGGCCACCTGAGATATAAACAGGAAATTGTAAAACATTCTTATTTTATATATTGGTTTTTTTTTTTTTTTGGTCTTTTTGAGACAGGGTCTCCCTGTAGCCCCAGCTGTCCTGGAACTCACTATGTAGACCAGGCTGGCCTTGAACTCACAGAGATCCGCCTGCCTCTGCCTCCCAAGTGCTGGGATTAAGGGCATGGGCCACCACACCTGGCAAGTATATCGATTTTTAAAATCTTTTTTTATGTGTATGAGGGTTTTACCTGCATATATCATGTTCAGGCAGTGCCAGAAGGCAGTGAACAGTCAGAACAGGCCATCAGATCCTCTGGAACTGGAGTTATGAATGGTTGTTAGCTGCCATGTGCGTGCTGAGAACTGAACCACTGAGCCATTTCTCTAGCCCCTAAATAACTTTTTAATTTTTTATTTTTTATTTTATGTATATGAATGTTTTGCCTGCATGTATGCAAGTGGACCCCTGCCATGCAAAGCCCAGAGAGACTAGAAGAGGGTGTCGGATCCCCTGGAACTGGAGTTACAGATGGTTGTTAGCCACCTAGTAGGTGCTGGGAATCAAACCCGGGTCCTCTGGAAGAGCAGCTGGTGCTCTTAACCACGGAGCCATCTCTCCAGCCCCTAAATAACTTTTTCTTAAAATTTGTTGATGTATATAGTGTATGTGCCTGTATGTATGTATTCCACATATTTAAAGGTGCCCACAGAAGCTGGGAGAAGGTGCCAGATCTCTTGGAACTGCAGTTATAGGCATTTATGAGCCATCTGTGTGATGTTGGGATCCAAGCTCAGGTCCTCTGGAAGAATAATAAAGCTCTTAATTACCAACCCATCTCTTCAGCCCCTATGTTGTCAGTTTTACCCTCAAATTCTTAACTTTCTTGAAGTTTCTTCTCACTTATTTTTGTCTCCTTAGCTATTGCAAATCAGGAGTGGTTCAGATTTCTGAAGACTTCCTGCAAATCTCATCAGTTAAACATTTCAACCATTTGACTTTATTCTCCTGATCTCTTCTCTAAAAGCTTCTGGTTTGTCCACTTCCTTCTTTTTATTTTTATGTGTGAGTGTTATACCTGCATGTATATAAGTGCACCTGTGTTGTGTAGTGCCCTTGGAGGATTCAGAAGAGGGCATCAGATTCCCTGGAACTGGAGTTATAGATGGTTGTTAGCTACCATGTGGATGCTGGGATTCGAACCCAGGATTTCTGCAAGAACAGCCAGTGCTCTTAACCGCTGAGCTGTCAGCTTCCCTCTTAAACCATACTGCCACCTAGAAATAAATATAATTCTCCACTTGTAGTTGTTTGACCCCTTTGTGGAGTTGGGGTCACTTCCCTGGCTATGATAGGAACACTGTCAGGATCTAAGTGTGGTTGGCAGACTCACCTCACTGAGTTCACTCCTTATTCTCCTTTAATCAAACCACTCTGAAGTGTTGACGGTATAATTACTCTGTCCAGTCACCATCCTCTCCTTGTATGGCTTGGATTTTAACCCCTGAATGTAGGGCATTGATACTTAAGCCTCTTCAATGTTATCTTTTTTAAAAAAATACTATGTATGTGTATGTTTTGCCTGTGTGTATGTATGTGCACTGTGTGCATGCCTATGCCCATGGAAGCCAGAAAAGGGCATCAGATCCCCTGGAACTAGAGTTACAGATGGCTGTGAGTTGCCATGTGGATGCTGGGAACTGAACCTGGGTTCTCTACAAGAGCAGCAAGTGCCTTAACTATTGAGCTATCACTCCAGCCTGTTAAATGTTTTTTACTAAGTTGGACCATTATCTTGGCCTCTAGATCCTGATCTTGTCACTCAAAATACTAGCCATTTCTTAATACTTTATCATCAGCAGTTTTGGTACATATGTCATAAAAAGTTATATCTGACTCATTAATAAGACTGAGCCAATGGTTAAAAGCACTGGCTGCTCTTGCAGAGGACCTGGGTTTGATTCCCAGCACCCATGTGATGGCCAATAGTCATTCGTAACTCCAGTTCCAGGGAATCTGAGACTTTCTTCTGACTTCTATGGGCATTGCATGACATGGGTACACATGCAGGCAATACACTCATACACATAAATAATAAAAATATAAAAAAGAACATAAATAATAAAAATACATAAATAATAAAAATATAAAAAGGAACCAGTAGTAAATATTTTACCATGGACATCTCTCAGATTGACATTTACCCACTGAACCAATATTCCTTTCTCTTGTTGTTTGAGACGAGTTTCATAAAGCCCAGGCTGGTCTCATACTCTCTGTGTAGGGAGGCATGACCTTGAACTCCTGATTTCCCCCAGCCTCCACCTCCCACATGCTGGGATTACAAGTGTATACCAGCGTGAACTCAGTTTTATGTGGTTCTAGGGACTGAACCTAGCATTTTGTGCATGCTAGACAAGACTACTTAATGAGCTACATCTCCAGCGCCTGTTTTTGAGACTCTACAGCCCATGCTATCTTGAAATTTACTGTGTAGTCTATGCTGGCCTGAACTTGACCCTCCTGCTTCAGCCTCCCAAATGCTGAGATTATAGTCTTGAGCCACGATGCCCAGCTGAACAGGCTTTTTTTTGTTTTTTTTGGCATTTATTTATTTTGTGTGTATATGTGTGTGTACCATGGCATATATGTGCTGGTCAGTGAACAACTTGCAGGAGTCAGTTCTCTGTGGACTCATGTAGGTTCAGGAGATCAAATTCAGGTCATTGAGCTTGATGACAATGCCTTTACCTACTCATCAGTCCTGGCCCAGTTTTTTCCAATTTGTTTTGTTTTGCTTTCGTTATGCATAGCTAGGAATTGAATTTGGAGCCTCACACATGCTAGGCAGCTGATCTAGTGCTGAGCTGTATTCCCAGCCCTGAACCAGTATTCTTTATTTGATCATGTATAAACTCCCCAGTTTATTCTGTTAGGATAATTTATCTGAAAGGTGTCACAAAGCTTATCAGATTTTTTATTTTATTTATTTTTGCCAAGACAAGGTCTCTGTGTAGTCCAGGCTTCCCTCAGTCTTGCAGTCCTCATGTTTTAGCCTCATAAGTGCCAGGATGATTACAGGCATTTACCCATGTGTGGCTGTTAAATGCTTTAAAAAAATAGATATACAGCCGGGCGTGGTGGTGCACGCCTTTAATCCCAGCACTCAGGAGGCAAAGGCAGGCGGATCTCTGTAAGTTCAAGACCAGCCTGGTCTACAAAGTGAGTCCCAGGACAGCTGGGGCTACAGGGAGACTCTGTCTCAAAAAGACAAAAAAAATAAGATATACAAGAAGAAAAAATAGGTGTCTGGTATGCCTCCTTACCCCCCCTCCCCCAACCACCAGGAAACCTACCTTTAACTCAACAAGCCCTCTCAAAATCATCTGATCTAACATAGTGCCACTTGTCAGGGAAAGCCACCAATGTGCATGTGAAGATGCACCACCTTAAGCTAGGCTCCATACAAATGTTCATTTATCCCAAAAAACAATTGGTTCAAGTCAAAAGGTTTATATTTACCATCCTTTAAAATAGGTCAGTGCTGCCTCTTGTGCTCTCTTCCTGCTGGACTTAGTCAGTTCTCTACTTCCCCAAGATTGTTTCCTTTGACAGAGCGAACAGTACTACTCCACATTGTGAGCCAGTTCCTTCCGGGGTTCTGAATATACACCTTTTTTGAAGCATTTAGCTTTTGGGTTTGTTTGGTTGTGAGTTTGTTTTGGCCTTTTTTGTTAATGTTGGGCTTTTTTAGTTCTTAGCACTGTTTTCCAGCTCTTGTCTCATTTCTGGTTTTATTCTTATAATTAAATGTTATTTTTATATCTGAGTATTCTGCATACACTTTGCAACTTTTGTGTATATTTCAGTTCCCAGAAGGTGCCCTGCACAATTACATTAAAGTATTAGATGATATTTTATCTTTTCTTCAGTATCAAATATAATTGTGTTTTTAAATTTTCTGTAACAAAAGCTTCCCTCTTTGAACTGTTTTTTGGAGTCTTGGAGCTTTTTTCTTTTCTCTGAATTCTTGGAGCCTTGCTGTTTGTGAGGTTTTATTCTATTGTGTATGAGTGTCATGTCTGCATATGTGTAAGTGCACCCATGTCACACAATGCTTGCAGAGGCCAGAAGAGGGTGTCGGATCCCCTGGAACTGAATTTATGGATGATTGTTAGCCACGAGCCACGATGTAGGTTGTGGGAGCTGGACCTGGCTCCTCTGCAAGAGCAGCCAGTGCTTTTAACCACAGAGCTTTCTCTTCGGCCCCTTGTGTTTTTTTCTTAATCTCCTGGTGCTAGGTATAGAAAAAGACTTTTCACATTACTGGACAGATACTCTACCACTGATCCCACTCCTAGCTCCTTGTCAGTTTTTAGATTAGCCACAATCTCAGAAAGTGAGTATATAGCCATGTATAGTACATACCTATAATCCCGACACTCAGAAGCTGAAAGAGGAAGAGTATAAGCTTACAGCTATCCTGTATAACTTAGTGAAACCCTGTCTCAGAAATAGAAATACGATTACAGAGTAGGGAGATAGCTCATTTGGTAGAATACTTGCCTTGCAAGCATGAGGATCTTAGTTTAATCCCAGAAGTCACATGGAGAGGAAGAAAAAGAAACCTGGAGAGGTGGCACACACTTACAGTCCTAATGTTGGGGAGGTGGAGATGGGCAAATCCCTGGGGCTCATTGGCTGACTAGCCTTTCCTACTTAGCAAGTTCCAGGCCAGTGAGAGACAGTCTCATAAAACAAGATAGATGGTGCCTGAGGATCTATACCCCAGGTTGTCCTCTGGCCTCTTCATGCACACACATAGGTACACCTGTACACACATGGGCACACTAAATGCACAGACACACAAAATAAATATTTTTAAATTTTTATTTATGAGTAGAGCCATGGATGTGGCTCAGTGGCACTTGCCAAGCATATGCAAGGCACTGAGATCAATCCTGAGTGCTGAAGAAAAAAGAAGGAAGGGGACGGGGAGGGGAGGGGAGGAGATAGAAGAGGTGTTTGACATTTAAACCCCGAATGATATTTTCATGATTTTTATTTATCTTCACAGATAGAGAAGTTTTTCCCTCATATCCTAGAAAAGGAGAAAATGCGTTCTGTTGAGGAGCCTTCCAGCCTCTCTCCAGAAGAGTTTGTCTTTGCCAAAGAGTGAGTGAACAGAAAGCATGGAACTGCCTCTGCTTGGCTTCAGGCGGGAGTTTGGTGATTGGTTTATATCCACAGAGCTCATCTCAGCCTTTGTCCATGGCTGTCAGCCAGATAGCGCTGGTGGCTCCTTGTGCACACCATAGCCATTTGAACTTCCTTGTTCCAGGTATATGGATCACACAGAGACCCATCTTAAAAATGCTGCCTTAAAGCACATGCCTCCCAACCTGCAGAAAGTGGACCTCTTGAGGGCAGGTAAGCAGACATCTTTTCCTACTCAGGGTTAGGATCATAACTTACATCCCAGGTGTCCTCAGGTGCCTGAGTGTGTGATCTCCTTCCTCAAATATCGAAAAATAAGTGTGCAGATAATGAAGAAAATAATATAGCAAAGGTCCTGGGTAAAAACAGAAGTAATCAGAACCACAGGTTGAGGTCACTTTCAGCATTACTCTTGTGTCCTGCAGATTGGTTTGGACTCATGGCTGCCACTCTAGGTATAGATGAATATACTCCAGATGTATATTCAGCCACACTTCTATTCAGCAGTTCCTTCTGAACATCTGGGAGGTACTGGGCCCTTCTGAGCCCTGGAGACGCAGGCCTCACAGATTCCAGAATGCATAGGAACTGGATGGCTAGAACGGTGGCTAGGAAACCATCTTCTGCTAGCAGGGGTGCCTCAGCTCTGTTGTGAGGACCTGCTCTAGTTAGAAAAGTAGGAACAGGATTGAGTGTGGAAAGGAAAAAGGAAGGCAGATGGGGAAGGACTGTGTGCCTAAGCTTCCTGGTGGAATCTTTGCTTTGGCCCCGGCTACCTGCTGAACCAGGGAAAGGGAGTTTATAGCACCTGGCCTTGGATCAGCCAGCTGGGCTCCTGAGGCTTGTAGGTAAAATCCATGCCCCTCACCTTCACTGTCTAGCTGAGCCTGATGAGGCAGAATTGCCAGACCAAATCAAATGGTTATTTAACTAACTGAGCTCAGTGTGCTCAGTCCACACATAGAACAGGACCCTGGGAACTCGCCTCTGCCCTAGCATGGGCTGGGTGATGCACCAGGAGCCCTGTGGTGTGGAACAGTGTCTCAGTCCATTTGAATAGCTCACAGTTCTGGAGGCTAGGAAGTCTTAAGATCAAGGTACCAACAGTTCCATGTCTGGTGAGCACTTGCCCTTCATCGTGGTTCCTTCTGTGTGTCCTGCATGGCCAAAGTGGTATATGACACTATTCCTGGTGGTACATGAACAAATGTCTACTCACTCCAGATAGGAAACCAGTATCAGACTAGAGTAAGGATACAGCCAAAATCCAACTTAATGAACCAAGGAGTTTATTACAGGACTGTGGGTGAGAAGTTACTTACAGGAGCAGAAATGACTCAAAGACAGCTACATCTCCAAAAGCCCACTGCAGAATGGGTGTCAGCTCATGAAAGCTGGAAATCTGGAGTATACTACATACCTTTCTGGCAGCTCAACAGGTTGGAAAGTGTCTCTTTTGGGAGGCTTAGCTGGTCTGAGCCTCTTCTAGGCAGCTCAGCTTGTCTTGAGCGATTCTCAGCAATCTTTAAAGACTTATATCTGCTTGGGGAATGAAGGACCTAGTAAACCTGAACAGTTTCAAGGACTTCCTGAAACTATTCACTTGCTTACTTCCTGAGTTTAGGAATTTCATTTTGGGATAAACTGTTTCACCTCCCTTTAGAGCATCCTGTTGCCTCAGGTAAGAGTTACAGATTCAGATCTCTTTTTTAAAGTCACTAATATCTGTCTATGTCTTCATCTCTTAAAAGGACACTGATTGATTGGTTTAGAACCTACCTTAACATAAATAGCTTCTTAAAAACGTGCCTCCGAGGACTGGAGAGATGGCTCAGTGGTTAAGAACACTGGTTCTTGCAGAAGACCCAGGTTCAAATCCCAGCACCCACATGGCATGTAACAACTACCCTAACTCCAGTTCTGGGGTATCCAGCAGCTTCTTCTGTCCTCCACAGGCATTGCACAACATGGGAGCACTTACCTACACACTGGCATGCACGCATATACATAAAATAAAAATAATAAATAAAATATATATATTTTTAAAAACCTGCCTCCAAACAGCCCAATTCCAAATACCAGAAGTTATAGTTTGGCTTACATATATGGATTTTGAAGGGATACAAGTTAGCCTGTAAGAGCTGGAACAAGCCAGACCCATACCAGATTTGTAAAATTTCACTGAGCCTGCTAGACAGAAGCAAAAACACCAGTGCATGGCTAGTTCCCTCTCTGGACTATTACTTTTGTCTGCACTTCAAACAGGAAAGAATCAGATTGTCCTCAGTCATGTCCTAGTGCCAGCTCCTCAGGGCATGCATATGGATTCTTGGAACTGGTCCTAAGCCATTTCTACTTGACATAGGTGGCACATAAAACACCTTTGAATTGATCCTCTTCCAAGGACAAACTAGTGGGACTAGCCTGTTCTAGTGAAATTGGGGCCTTTAATTAGCTTAGCTTCCCCATGTCTCCCTGAGACATTTGGAGGTTTGCAGACCCCAGTGACAGGACTGGGACAGGCATGTTGAAATCCAAACTGGACTTTTGGAATCGGAAGCCATCAGTAGTACCAGATCAACTCTGGTGAATCCCAGAGGACTTTCTTTAAGCTTTTGGAGCTCATTATCCTAAACCCTTTCACATAGACGAGGTGTGCCAAGGGCAGTAGAAACCCTGCGTGGGCCCTTAGGACAAGAAAGTATCCAGTAAATTCTCGGATCCTGCAGTTGAGATTCCTCTAGATACCAGTGGAATTCCAGGAGCAGAGGAGCCAGCTGGGGTCATATAGCAACAGGAGATGTTGGCCAGTGGTAGGAGTGGAGAGATGGCAGCAGTTTTCTAACCTGTAGTTGGTCAGTGAGGGACTACTTAAGGTTAAAACCATATTTCCTTGTCTGTCATCATATAACCAAACTTTGCTTTATATACTGTCCTAGATTTTTATATTTCTCTCCCAGCTTTTTGTGACATATAAGCTCATTTTCCCTCTTTTAAGTCTTACACTGTCCTTTAAAGCCTACATCTACTGCCTTTTTCCACATCATTGAATGTATATCCTATGAATGTGAGGCATCACTAAATGCTCATGTAGTACCTTGTGTGGAATGATGTTATGCTTGTTTGCATCTTCTACAATGTGTCCCCACTTATATATCATTTCACTTTTCAAGGTTTGTTAACCAAGGTCAGCCATGATCCAGAAATACAAACTGGACAATTTCAAATCCAACAGTTCTGATCAGTCTGACAAAATCTCACTTACAGATTAACTGTCTCTATACCACAGCATTGTGTTGAAGTAATCCTCACATAGTGGACTAACACTACCTCACAATGCATAGGTAAGTCATCATATAGGCATTGTGTCATCTCACCTCATATCAAAAGCATAAAGGTAGGTACAGGACAGCAGTAGAGACCACATTATTATAGGATCATTGCTCTATTATACAATGAATGCTAATCTCAGAGAAACGTTAATCATAAGTATGTATGTAAAGGGGAGCATATATATGGTTTGGTACTGTTTAGGTGTTCACCTGGGTGCTTGGAAGGAACCCTTTTTGAAATAGGAGACTGCAGCATTAGAGATCCCTGCACATTGTAAGTCTACATCACTTGTTGAATGAGTAGTTTCTATAAAGATCCGGGTCATTCATCTTCCAGAATGCCTTTACACCAACAGTGTCAATATCATTACATTAGCCCCAGTGACTTTTCTCATGTTGACCTTGTTAACTGTTCATTTTATGATCCTATTTTTGGATTTTTTGGCAGTTCCCAAACCAGATCTAGATTCATATGTGTTTCTGAGAGTGAAAGAACGACAAGAAAACATACTAGTAGAACCAGAAACAGATGAGCAGAGGTGAGTGGCATGTGGGCCTTTCACAGTGGGAAAAGTTCCTCCCATGGAGAAGCAATTAAGCTCTGCACCTAAAATTTTTCCTCCTCTTTCAGGGACTATGTTATTGACTTGGAGGAGGGGTCACAACACTTGATCCGATACAAAACCATTGCACCTCTTGTTGCTTCTGGAGCAGTTCAGCTGATTTAAAACAGAATAAACAAGCCTGAGGACATGAAGTCATGGAAGCCCCTTTGTGCCTAGGAGCAGTAATGCAGTCATGCTCCAGACAGCAGGCTTTCCTTAGCGGTTGTGGGCCACTTAGACATGGAAAGGAAGTCAGGGCATCGACATACCCTTCTCTTAACTTCTGTTTGAACTAGTATCGGCATATGGGCCCTTACTCTGTTTATTTGTGTACTTGGCAAATAAATCCACTGTCAGCTGTGTGCCTTTTCTTTTTCATGCTCAGGAAAGCAAGACAAAGATGGGTCATGCAAAGGCTTCCCTGTCCTGCGAATTACCCTAACTTGTTAACAGAATTCCTTAGCCTTCCTGTACTTGGACTTAAAACCAGTTTCTGTCATGCTTAACTGATGTGCTGGATAACTTTAGTGTCACTTGACACACCTGGATTAAGGGAGCCTCAATTGGGAAATTTCCTCTATTGGACTGGCCTGTGGCCACATCTGAGGGGCATCTTCTTGATGAGTGATGTGGGAGGGCCCAGCCCACTATGGGTGGTGCCACCCCTGGGCAGGTGGGCCTGTGTTGCATAAGAAAGCAGGCTGAGCAGGGGCCAGGGGCCAGTAAGCAGCGTTCCTTCATGGCCTGTGCTCCAGCTCCTGCCTCCAGGGTCCTGCCCTGAGTTCCTACCTTGGGCTCCCTGATGAACTGTGACCTCAGAGATGTAAGCTGAATAAACCCTTTCCTCCCCAAGTTGGTAGTGGTCAGAGTATTTTGCCACAGCAATGAAGAAACAGAGTAGGACAGTAATTGGTACCAGAGAGTGGGGTATTGCTACTATGACAGACCTGAGCTTGGTGTTTTGGGGAGGACTGTGGAAGTGTTTGGAACTTTGGGCTGGAAAAGCTGTTGCGTGCTCCGAGTTTGTTGCAGTGGAGCTTGGAACAGTTATGCTGAAAGAGTTGTAGACGATGGAGGCCTGGCTTGTGAAGCTTCAAAGGGAAGCGGAGACCATCAGGGCTGTTCGTGTGAGATTTCAGATTGAGAATCTATGGGTTCTGGTCGGCTGGGGCTGAAGAATCAGCTGTGATTAAGAAGAGACCAGAACCTGAAGTAAAACCTTTCCTTTACTGGGACAATTTATGCTGGTTAGCTGGGGCTGAAAAATCAGCTATAAGCTGATAAGTGATGACCAGCATCACTGAGGTGAAGTCTTCTGGGAGGTATTTCCTCAGGGTCAGCACATAGAGGGCACCCAAGCCTCCATCTCAAGCTGGAAGCAGGACTTGGTAATGTGTAAGTCTCCTGCATAGATCTGGTGTTGAAAGCGTGAAGGAGTCACAGAGAGCAGCTGAGGCTTGGCACGCAGAGGCCAGGAAAGGCCATAGGTGAAAGTGCAGCTTCAGTTACAGTTCAGACCCCAGGATTGAAGGGGTCATGGAGAGAATCTGAGCCTTTGCACCCAGAGAGGCAAGAAGTCGTCATTGGTGAAGGTGTAGCCTTAGTTTCAGTGGAGACCCCAGCTTTTTGGAGATGCCAGGACCGTGAGATGACCACCAAGGACTGCAGTAGGTGTGGCATGGAGCTGGCCTAGGTCTGTGAGACGAGCTGTGTGTGTTGTGGACTGCAGTCAGAGCAGTGGAGCTGCCAGAACCCTATGGAGCCCAGAAGATTGTGAGTGAATCCCAGATGTCCAGCCTTGAGCTACTTTGCTGGACTTTGGTTTTGCTTAGGTGTGCCAGATTCTTCCCTTTGAAATAAGACAGTACTTGTTTTGGATTTTACAGAAGCCCAAAGTTAAGAGACTTTTAAAAGAGACTATGAACTTTTTCTTTTTTTTCTTTTTTTTTGAGACTGGGTCTCCCTGTAGCCCCAGATATCCTGGAACTCACTATGTAGACCAGGCTGGCCTTGAACTCACAGAGATCTGCCTGCCTCTGCCTCCCAAGTACTGGGACTACAGGTGTGTGCCACCATGCCCTGCGAGACTATGAACTCTTAAGTGTTTGGATTTTTTAAGGGCTGTGGGGTTTTTAAGGTTGTACTGTCTTATGTTGTGATATTAACATCATATCTTGGGGACAGAAATTGGAAAGTTATGGTTTAATAGTGATTGTGTGTCAAGTTGACAAGTGGTCAGTTGTGCTGGATAGTTTTAGTGTCAACTTGACACACCTGGGTTAAGGGAGCCTCAATTGTGGAATTTCCTCTATTGGACTAGCCTGTGGCCACATCTGAGGGCCATCTTCTTGATGAGTGATATGGGAGGGCCCAGCCCACTGTGGGTGGTGCCACCCCTGGGCAGGTGGGGCTGTGTTGCATAAGAAAGCAGGTTGAGCAGGGGCCAGGGGAGGAAGCCAGTAAGCAGTGTTCCTTCATGGTCTGTGCTCCAGCTTCTGCCTCCAGGTTCCTGCCCTGAGTTCCTACCTTGGGCTCCCTGATGAACTGTGACCTGGGAGATGTAAGCTGAATAAACCCTTTCCTCCCCAAGTTGGTATTGGTCAGAGTATTTTGCCACAGCAATGAAGAAACAAACCAAGACAACTGAAAATCACAAGCCACTGTTAAATGTCAAGGCTTGTGTCAGAAGAAGTCCTTGGACAGTTCTTAGCATGTTGCCTAATGAAGTCGATTCTCCTTGTTAGCCTGCAGTCCTCTCTGTTTCTCAGACAGCTTTGCCAGGCCAGTGTCCAGGCCATCTGACTGTCTCTAACCCAAGCTCTGAGGAGAGCATCGTGATTAACTGTCCTATACTGGGACCTCAGCCATATCTAGGAAAATGGGTAAAATGACTGCTGGCTAATTTTTGTTAACTGGACACAAACTAGACTTACCTGGGAAGAAGGAACCTCCATTGAGGAATTGTCTCATTGAGGAATTTCCTCCATCAGATATGGGTATGTTTGTTGGGCATTTTCTTACTGTTGATTGATACAGGAGAGCCCAGCCAGCCCACTGTGGGTGGTACAGTCCCTGTGCAGGTGGGCTTAGGCTGTATAAGTAGCTGAGCAAGCCAATAAGCAGCGTTCTCCATGGTCTTGGCTTCAGTTCCTGCCTTGGCTTCCCTCAATGATGGGATGTGGAAGTGTGAGCCAAATAAGCCCTTTCCTTCCCAAGTTGCTTTTGATCATAGTGTTTATCACAGCAATAGAAAAGCAGTCTAGGACAGTGGCCTGTGAACAGTCAGCACTTTAAGAATGATGGAAAACAGCTTGTTCCAATCCCTTGAAGGTGCAGATTTTCACTCATACGGCCTGGTCTGAAAGAGTGACTGGAATTTCTATCTCAGCCAAGAGAAAAGAGCATGGAAAGTTTTCTCTAAATAAAAGCATGTGACGTTCGTCTAGTGCATTGTATTCTCCGCAGTGGCTTTGCCCTCTTCATTAAACAAATGTATATTGAGCAGACAGTGTGCCAAGCACATGTTAAGGCACCAGGGTTGCAATCCCAAACCATTGTCTGTGTTCAAATAGTGTTGATCAGTCCCTTGCAGAGAATTAGGGTGACTCACCAGTGGCTGAATGGTGGTGTAGGATGGTCTCACTGAAAAGATAACATTTAGGCTGAGGTCTAAACAAGCTGGACATACAGAGATCACATGACAAGAAATTCTAGATAGTGAAGAAAGCTCTGGCTAGAGTGCAGTTGGCAAAACAGTGGTGCAGGATGAAGTCTGGGAGGTAGTCTAAGCTCAGATAACAGAACTTTTGCTGGATCCCATATGGTCCACACCGCAGTCCTGAGAAGTACCAAAGCAGAATCTTAGTGGTAGGTCTGAGATTGTTGCCCAAATCTTCAGCAAACTCCATTGTTAAGTGCTAAGCAGCCAGGAGAAGCTTGTCAGAACAGTTTGCGGTTTTGTTTACATTTATTTTTGTATGTTTATATGTGGGTGGGCACACGGTGTATGTGTGGAGGAAACAGTGTATGTGTCAAGGTCAGACAACAGGAGAGAGTTCTGTCCTACCATGTGCATCTGGAGGATCAAACCTGTTCAGGCTGCAGGCACCATTACCGTTGAGCTGTCTTGCTGTCCCAGAATTGTTCTTAAGTCTTTGATTTTTGGTAAGATTTAGATTCCAGAGCTAGGGGCATAGCTTAGTAGGTTCAGGGTTCAATAGTAAAAAGCTGTGCAGATGCTGTTGCAGGAGGGCTGAGTGGGGCCCAAGGTTGTGCAGGTGTAGCTGGTCTAGGTAGCACACTGAGCTGAGGGCTGCATGCCTGCACTGTGCATACTAGGCTCTACAGAGGAGTTAGATTCTCTGCTACACACATAGGTGAATTCCGTTTCCTAAGTCCACTTCAAGGAAGACTGCCTGAGATATGTCATTTATATATAAAGTGGAAGTTAAATTACAAACCCAAATAGTTGGGGCTGCAGAGATGGCTCAATGGTTAAGAGCACAGGCTGCTCTTGCAGAAGACACAGGTTTGAATCCCAGTACCCACATGACGGCTAGCAACCATATATAACTCCAGTTTCAGGGGACCAATGCCATCTTCTAAACTCTGCAGACATTGCATGACATGGATGCACTTACATACATGCAGGCAATTGTCGCCAGAGTTCTCTCGGGGTCTCTTGTGCTATCAGACAAACCATATATTTTTACGTGAATTTATTATAGTTTATATCTTGGGGGCAGGAGAATAGAGAAATTTAAGAGGTCAACGCCTGGCACCCAGCACCCAGCTCTATGCCACAGACCACCACCGTTCAGGATCGCTTCTGCCCCCGTACACAGTCTCCGTTAACTTTTGCCCACACATCTTGGACCCACAGTCTCATCCCAGGTTGGTAAATGCCCCCTCTCATGACACGGGTGAGACACCAGGGCTATCTTTTTTTGCCACGCCCACTGCTGCGAGTTCCTGGCAGCTTGTGGCTTCTGTCCCAAGATGATTCCCAGAAGCCCCTCCACAGTCAGTTCTCCATGGCAGGCCCTGCCCCTTGAAGGAACCAGGTCTCTGAGACACACTCTTCCCTCCTTTCCTCTGCTCTTAACAATCTTTCTGCCTATCTTCCACTAAAGTCCCTGAGCCTTGGAGGGGGGTGACAGATGTAAGGTGATCTCTCTTGTATCATGGTGAGATAGTGACTTCTTGGGCCTCCCCATTATTTGTCTTTAAGCCGTGGCCATTGATCTGTCTCAGTAGTGTTTCTTCTACTAAAAAGACAAATGGAAGGAAGTAGACACACCTAAACAAACATGAATATAAATACAAATGTCTAGAAGATATCCCAGTAGGCGTACTATAATCA